CGTTACATGCTCAACGAGATTACATGTATTTGAAGGAGGAAGGTCGGCACACTTGCAGTTGGTATTGGCAATTATTAATATCGCAATGGTGAATTCTATTGCAGCTGTAAGTGCTGGACCGTTACCAAGGGTAATTCGTAATTTACTGCTGGAACACGCGAAAATACTCGAGTCGCTGTCGCGGTGCAGAGTAGACTTTTGAGAAGGATGTCTTATTTTCTGTACTTAGAATTTTTTTACGGTTCTTAGTAATTACAAAATTCGTAGCACAGTTTGTGTTCGTATAAAGTGGCTGATATGTTTCAAAATGAAAGCTAATTATATTGAATTGAGATAGAGCGAGAAGAGAGTGTTAGAAACAACAGTAAAGCTGAAGGATATCTGTAAATATTTAAATCACTTTAATTTCACGTACTGTTAACGAAATTCGGTACAATGAACTTATCACGCGTACCTGACTATTCGTAATGACGATGTAACAACTCGAATGCGTTTTTCTTATGAAGCCACTTAAACATTTTTATTAATTTGTTTTTTGGTACTTGTTGTTATAGCGGCTACAGAAATACGTCATCTGTGAAAATTTCAACTGTCTAACTATCATGGTTCATGAGATAAAGCCTGGTGAAAACGGACAGACAGACAGACAGCGGAGTTATAGTGATAGGGTCCGGTTTTACCCTTTAGGTACGGAACCCTAACCATCAAAATTACAGTATTGCCATAGGTCGGCCATGTCAATCTTACTTTTCCCTGCCAAAATTCCACATATCACCTGTCAGTCATTTGTCTTAAAGGCGGATTTCTGAAAACGTTTAAACTACCCGCTACATTTACCTTCATAATCATGAGCAATTATTCATAACTTTCAGTTAAAATAATGATTTATACGATGTAGCTGTTGTTACTTCTAAAACTAGTAAATTATTGTTGTTAGTCATCTACGGTTACTCATTTATTATTGATTTATATCATCCTAAAATTACTCAGATTACGACTGATGCGTTATAATGAAAGTATTTTGATTTTATTTTTGCCAAAGCTTCATCATTCACATAACAAAAGGATTAAAGGTACGGTTTATTAAAAATGAAAAATAGGTAAAGCTACGTAAGTGTTTGCTGTTGCAAGAATGGGCAGGTCCGTCCGGGTTAGTACCATGGCCACATGGCGGTAACACATCTGCAACCCTACGGGTGTTGCAAATATCACTTAGCATCAGGTTAACCAATGAAGGTAGCAAGCTCGCTTGTTAGATAATATGAATGTGAATCATATGATACATAGTTGGCTCTTGTTACAAGAGTTGTTCTCCACAGAGTATACAATAAACGACGTTATATGTTATATGAAAAACCGAGATATAATTTGCCCTCATTAAATCGTTGGTATAACCTTTGCGGAGGACCAAAATACATTTGTTGACGTGTCTGATGGACGGAAAGCAAACACGAGGCACTTCGCGTCGTTAGTATTTCGAAAACAGGTTAAGGAATTCTTTAAAAAAAAACTGTTATTATTTTCCGTTATCATTTAAATGTCTTTTCAATATTCGGTCTGTGTACCAATGCGGTTTCTTGTCGTTGTGCATGAGGCGTGTTAAACAGACAGTTGTTATAAAATGTTCTAATATAATGTAATAAAATATTGAGTAAAGTTGTTTTTAAATGGTGGCGCAAACTTTTGATGCTATGATCTAAAGTTTCCAATTATCAATAATAAATAATCATGTTATCCTAATTTCTAGTCAATACAAAAAATGAAGATATCCCATATGGCTTATGAATTTACAATTTTTTTAACCAATTATTTTTATTATATATATTTTAAAAGTTAAATATTGAAAACATATCTGTATATATGCGATATATATGATCGCCGATATTTACGAAATTAAATCATTTTATTAATTTCCTCGATAGTGAACCTATTCTTGAAAGATTTCAAATTATTCTTTTACCTTTTTTTATGGAACAAAGACGTACTTTGAGCAGGCTCTTTGCCTGCAGAATTTTCAGGATCTTTTACCATTACCAACTAATGGTAAAAGATCACCGCCGCCCATTAATACAAATGCGATGCCAGCTTTACAGGTAGGAATAGGCTAGCGAAATACCCATAAATAATAAAGTTTCTTGGTGTTGATCAAATAATGCAACCGTGGATGTTAAAATGGATGTTGTGTAAAGAATTGAGAATCAAAGAACTTTTACGGGACAATTTTAAAAGCAGCAAAGTAGACGTTCTGGTTCCTATTCTTGATTTGATATTAACTTTAGGGTTTATTCTATATGACCGGATAGGGTAACTTAAGATTTGTAATGATTTAGCGCAGCTATGGCTCGTTTGAATCTGGTTGACAACTGACTTGTATAAAAAATACCCATAACTGTGTTCATTACCCGGTAACAGCACACACGACATGAAGAAATCATTAGGTATTCTTTAATTTTGTTGTTCAATTTTGGATTGTTAGGGTCTGACTGGATATTCTTCACTGTGATTTTTAAGAACAATAGATCCGAATCTCCCTAGTGTCTGGAGCAAAGCAGAGGATTTAAATACTTTCAGAGTCTGTCTTCGTCTTTGTTGAATGATGTCTTCGCTCTCAGCTTTCACAACTGTGTATTATTGTGTATGGAGCTTTATTGGATAAAGAGGTGTTTCAGAAAGGCTACAGTTTCGGACTTGAAAGCATATTTCCTTTTTTGGAGTGTAGTTGGCTGAAGGTGGTGGATGGTGTTAACCATTTGGTGAGAGCGGTGATGTGAGGCGGCGTGGACGTACCCTGTGTATGCGACATGGTGATTTTCCACTGGCGAGGATGGACTGCAGATTATATTCCCGACGTTGATCAGGTGCTGGGTACGTACAATTTTTTTTTATGTCCAAAAGTGGCAAACGAGCTGTCGGTTCACCTGATGTTATGTAATAATTGCCACCCATCGAAATTTGCAATGCCCGTAGGGATCCAAATGCGTTGCCACCTTTAAATAAAGTGGGCCCCGGCTACCTCACTCACCAGACGAAACGCATAAGTGTAACACTTCTACTTTACGCCAGTCTTTTGTGAGGTCGTAGTACTTACCCGGACGGACCTGCCTATTCGTGAAACAGGGTAAACTGTTGCGAGGCCCTGCCATATTTAATAAATAAGAGATCTTTGTAGATTGAAGCAAAATTTATCCTGACAAAGTTCAGGGCTGTTGTGGTTGACCTTGAGCGATGATGATTACTTAACTTTAGGAAATGTCATCAAATTTGTCATTTGCCATTAAAATCCGCGTCTAATTGCTGTGTCTGTTTGAACGACAGAGTAGGTGTGGACAGTCTATATGGATGTAATAACAAGTTTTAATAAACAATGTATTTTATGTGACGTATAATAATCAAATGCATCACTTGTTGGTGAGAAATTAACAGCTATCATTTGGTTATCGTATAGCTCGTATTGCTTCTTGTTTATTTGCTTTGCTTTGTAAATTACGAAGAAGCAGATAAACAAGAAGCTAATATGTATTTTGGATGTCGTCTTTGAACTGAACATTCGAAGTATGGCAACAAACGAAAGGTGGCTAGCGGAGCCACTGATCAGGTTTGCCACTGGGGATAGGAGACTTACTGCTTATTAGTACTGGCTCCCCTGGCCAAGTAGAGTCAGCAAAAAGGCCGAGTAGCAAGGTACCGAACAATGTTCCAGTCTGCCTTGCGAAGAAGCTGCTGAGACGGCCAGTGCTGGCATTGTTCCCGTGACTGATATACGCCCAGGTGGAACATCGGAGGGTAGAGGTCGGTGGGAGTCTGGCGTAACAAACCCTTCCATTCACGAGCGCGGGTATACGTAGGCATTGTCCCATGTTAACAAAAAGAAGTCAGACTCAATTAAGATCAGATTCGTTTTAACAAATGTCATATGGTTTTCTTTATTTAGTTAGTACTCGTAACTACTGTGGAAGAGCCATACCGTAGCTTCTGCTGTTACAAGGATGGGAAGTCACTTTCAGGAAAGTCCGGGTACCTTAAGAGGATTGGCATGGAGTGGAAGTGTTACACAGTTTGAAGTTATGTTGTGTAGTAGCCGGGCTCCGCACTTTTAGGTTAGCAACGTATCTAATCCACTAGCGCTCTGAATGTTTATGGGCTGCTGATCGTTTGCCTCCTGGTCCATAAAAAAGCAATTATTTATTTATTATTTATAATGTTTCGGTAGTAGTTTCACTGTCAAGATTCTTTTTTCTTTTAAAAAGGAACGATGCATGGAACGAAAAATACTATCTGGTAAACCTGGGAGAATCAATTAATCAATAAAATTAAAAAAATATCAATTATTGTACGAAATAAGACACAAGTACGGTTAATCCTCTAACATTAATTGAACCGCCCGCTTGCGTATAATTTTGAAAAATCAAAAAGCAAATCAAAGAAAAGGTTTTGAATGTTTCTATTTTCATTGACGAAGTTTTAAATTATTTCAGTTAAGGTAAAAGAAAATCTTGCACATTTAGAACAGTTATAGTACTTGACGGATGCAGGTAATCTTTATGATATGTATTGATCATGCACTTTTTGGAGAATTTACGTTTTATTGTCGAGGTGCCTAAAATGACCCAAACACCTATGCGCTCCTACGCTGAATCCAGGCCAACATTCGGGTTAGCAGCGCTTGCACCAGCAGTTTTATGCCTTTGCCGTATCGGAACCGCTATTTATATGCGGAGATTTATATGAAAGCCTAGGTATTATAAGTGTTGTGAATGTACACACAATGAGGGGTATTTTGGGAGTGCCGACCGGCGTCTCGGCTGCGTTCGGGGCAGTGTGGGATCGGCGGGCGCCCGGAGCGCGTGGGTCCGTTAACCGTGTGTGTGACCTGTGTACGTACAGACGTGCAGTGCGAGACGAGTGTAAGTCAAGAAGAGGAGCTTATTAATCGATTAATGCTACGGAGTGCTTCGGTGTCGCCGCCGCGATGGATTAAGTGAAGTTATGCTAACATACTAATGCATGACCGCCGCTCGCGGGGGTTGAGAGCGGAATGGGCGGGATGGGTCGGGCGCGGGCGACGCGTGCGCAGGGTGTGGGCAGGGAAATTTGATAAGGCGATATGTCGGTCGACCGACTGGCCAGTTTTGTATGCAGCTAGCGTCGGTGCCGCGGACTATTTTTGAACCGGGCGTCGTGCCGGGGTATTTCTGCTGTTCCCCGAGCGGCGCTGACCGGGTCGGCTGTGTCCCATTAGTCTTGAGATTTTGAATTTTATGGACGCCGCGCGCACGCCTCCATGATGTATGGTTTACAGGATGAACCAGTGGTTCCGCTGAAGATGGGATCGCATTATGTCGCTTTGCATGCTGTGTGTGTTGTTGAATATGCTTTTTGTTAATACTATTTATTATTCGTGAACAAGTATTATTATGATAATCACTCAATATATATTAACAAATACGCTAAATTTATTCATGTCAAAAATAAATGTAATAAAATACATGTAAAAGTTATAAAAACTCTCGTTCACGTTACTATGTACATAATATGGAACTGTCCAAAATTAATACTTACTCTCTCTACTTTACTGTTCGCGTGAATAGAAGCGCATTTATTATGTATTAAAATTGTTGAATCCACCTAAAATAAAATAATATTAATTAGAGATATTCCTTCACGTTTACATTGTAATGAAGGGTTAATTTTAAGGAACGGGCTAGGTTTATGTCCAGCATTGAAGTCATGTCCAGCATGGACATGATGTTGATAGTAATTTTATAATCAACTATCGATGTATTTTTTTCCTGTAATCTGTTAAATATTACCTTTGATCAAGACTTCTACCTCCAAGGTGCATGGAAATCCCAATAACCTTAAGAAACAACGTAAACAAGGGGAGAGAGAAGCCAAATATTGTGTATTTGTTCATTGCCCAAGATATCAATTTACCTGTTACGAATATTACACAAATGTATCTGCTGCCTTCTTATTCGGACACCACAAATGGTTTACTCGTAGATATTTATTCATATCAATATGTTTGAAGAAAGATGTGACAGATTGATTGACACACACAGCACCGTGATAACCCAAGCAAAACTTATAGCCACGTAAGACTATTTTGTAAGTCTTATACCTTACGCAACAAATCCTTTTCCTTTTTAATGAAATAAAAACTTATGTATCGTTGAACCGTTCATGGGAATGTCGATTCTTTATTTTATTTGTCAATTTAAGGTTTACATCTGAATAGTTTCATTCAGAAATGTCTTGAAAATCAGTAATTCAATGTGTTGGATGTTTAATCTTAAATAATTGTTTCCAGAGTTTTATATTGCTCTCTTGAAATCAACATTAAAATTATAACCAACTCGTCACAAAGTAAAATATCAATAATCAGCTTTAACAGAATTGAAATACTAAACACTAATAATACTCTACTATAATAAATGGTTAACATAAATAACAGTGAAATTTAGAAATAAGAGTTTTATTGTTTCTTCTCAACCTTCTGATTTTTCTACTTCTTCTATCTTAGGTTAGTTTAAATTGAAATATTCTGGTACCAGTGGTCTTTAAAAGAGTTTTTTTTTGTAAAAATTTTGAAAAGCTATTAACCATTCACTCTTTAGTATATTTAATAAATTTGTTATGCAACATTGCGCAATCATTACTTAAAAAATATTTTTGTACGTATTCACTATTAGGTTGATATTAATTTCATCCCAGTTGGTACGTATCAACCATTAAAAGTTCTAAAAGCAGAACCATCGGAATTGCGTTATATTTTAAAGCATTCTTTGCTTATTTACTTTAAGTTCAATCAGGATTAAAGGAAGGTTAGAATTACAATAAATAATCAACACATTATGGAAGCCCGGATCAATTCGAATTAGGGCGTAAAACGACTCAGTCTGTCTCGGGACCACGAACACTATAAAGTGTTCAAAACTTCGGGAATTTAAAATCAAAATTCAACGGTGAAAGGGCCACGCAACAGTCTTTGCTATTTGTTGCACGAATTGGCAGGTCCGTTCGGTTAAGTACCAGGACCTCAGACAGGCGTGAAATGGAAGTGTTACACTTCTGCGTATCGTCTGGTGAGTGAGATTGCCGGCGACCATTATATTAAATGGTGGTAACGCATCAGCAACCCTACGGGTGTTGCAAATGTCAAGGGGTTCCGGTTATTACTTAACATCAGGTGAACCGCCAGCTCGCTTGCCTCTTTCTCACATAAAAAAACAAACTTCTTACTATTACTTACAATTGCGCCAATAAATTTGGAGACAAATAAAAGATGAATTGTGCATAATTGCTCCACGATATTTGTTACCACAGTGATTTAAAAGCTTCAATATCGTTGAGCTGAGTACTTAATTTATCTAAACAAACCACGTTGGACAACATAAAACAAGTTAAGTGCTTGCTGCCGTCCAAAGACTTATATGTTACTATGTAAATACAGAAGGCCTCTGGCTGCATCATTCATCAGAAAACGCAAAAAAGGATAATAAAAAAAAATAAAGGCTTAGAAATATTAAGTAATATCGGACAAACGAATATTGAAAGTACCAGAATATTTTAGTTAAACAAAAACCGTAATCGTTTATGCGAAGGTACTAAACAGTATTGTATACACATCTTAAAGAGATTGCTACGCATAGTAACAGGCCATTCTAATAATCATAAACTGTATTGATTCCACATTTCTTCCATTTTAGTTTCTCAATACTGGGTCCTGCCTTTCTTTAGAACGTCACTCATCATTCCGATAAATAAACATCTCTCTTCATTGTTGCGTTGTATTCTTTAGTTTGTTGTGCCGGAAGCGACGTTAATATGTTGTTAGTAAAATAAGCAATAAGTGGACTAGTTAACTAAACTGCTTTGCACCGTGCCGCATCGGGGCTAACACAGCTTGGGCGAAGCTTGCCGGAAAACGCGTAACGGGACGTTGATCGATTGCCCGACATCGATAGTAGTGTATGCCAGCGATAAATTTGTTCCCAATCGACAGATAATTGACACAGCCTAGTTAATTAATTTAACTGATTTCTTACTACCACAATGAAAACATAATCATAACGGGTCTTTGATCTAAAAAGGAACTTTGCAAACAGATCCTTTATGAATTATTCAGCAAAGTAATGTTGACAGAATTGGTGATATATTGAAATGATATATGGACATACGTCGCTTTTCTTCTGTCTTATTCTAGAGTTTTGTTTGGACTCTTTTAGAGAAATTCATTATGCGATCTCTTTAATCACGCACAGGGGGGATGACTCATTAGTCTATAACACGAAATGGAAAACTTACCTGTTAGAATTTTTTTTCGCCGAGAAAGAACCACGGTATGAGAGCTCAACATCAGAAATATATTTTATTATTTTTCTTAAAACCGAATACTCCTCTACCGCCGCTTATTTTTATTTACTTAAAGTAACAGCATATACATGTCCCACTGCTGGGCAAAGGCCTCCTCTATACAGAGGGTATCAGGGCATAGTCCATCACGCGGCCCCACTGCGGATTGGCGGACTTCACATATCTTCGAAACACATTTTTCTTATTTACTTAGCATTATAAAAATAAACATAAGTGAATATTTATGTTACAGAAAATCTTTACTATATAAAATTATGTGTTGTTCAGTTAACCAAAGTAGCCTTCTGGCTGTTGCAACCTTATTAATTGAGAGATGTGACTCTAGAGCCAAATAATTCATTGCTTTGATGTGTTCTATTGATGTTGATGACATCCTTTGACTATTTGAATAGTTTCTTAAAAAAAGCTTTCATCACTATATTCATACACACTGCTTGGCTTTAGTCTTCTCTGTACTTCCACCAGGCGGTGGGACATACTCTGGTCTTAACAGTCACGTAGTAGCTTTTCTGTTGCTCGACGGGTTGTTGGAAGTATCGGCAGGATATCGTCTTTTCTGACTTTTGAATTTTTTATGTGAAAACGTAGCGGTCATCCCATTGTCATTTTCAACACCCGTAGAGTTGCAAATGCATAACCGCCTTTTAATAAAATCGGCTCTATTTCGGTCTTCTTTGAGGTGGTCGTATTTACCTGTTTGGACCTGCCCATTTGTGCAACAGAGAAGACTGTTGCGTGGCCCTGCCACAGTCGAGCATTCGTGATGGACGAATTAGAGGTTGGGAACGCAAGATGTGCTTAAGCGGCGTAATCACTTAACATCAGTTAAGCCGCCGGCTCATAAACCACCTTTTTAAATGAAAAATAATTTCTAAAATGTGCAAACTCTTTTCAAATACAATTTTTGTCGATATAAACAGTTGACATACCTAAGATTGTATTTAAATGAAAGAGATAATTACCATTACCGATTTACAAGATGTATATAAAAATCGTTTTAATGGAAATTTGGTAGTGTAGAAAGCAAGTACCCTTCTTTATCGTATCATTTAAAAAATTTACACTATTTGTAATTTTCACATGTTATATTATAATCATCACGAATACCCTGATGTTGCCGAATATAATTGTCTGTATCCACATTTATTACCGACGAGGAAACCTAATAACTCACACAAATAATTAGACCGGAAAAAGTAATTTTGTTAAAATCGAATAGTGTACGGCTGAATTATTGCTTTACATATTATTTAAATATTTTTTTTACCCATTCTTTTCTGGTCCAATAACAATTATCGTGCCAATTTCGTTTTCTATTCCAGTCTGGGATAAATTTGCTTACCCATCAGAGTTAGAAAAGCTAAACATTTCTTGCGATTCATTTGTATTCGGCTGTTGAATGTTTTATTGATTTTGAACCGATTTGCTTGGAATTGCAACATAAACACATTCACAGAAATAATCCGATCCAAACAGCATTAGATAAAACTACACATATAATAGATTCTTAGCAAAGAGCTTATTAAGTTGCCTGTCATTGTTAATAGCACAATATTCGTAGAAATTATAGTCGCTGTTACAAATTATTGTAAGTTCCTTTTCAAATTTATTTCAACTGCAACTATTCTCAAATTCTGAGTGGATGTCAATTCCCTCTTTCTTTTATATTTCATCTTTCTTTATTCCGCTTCTCAACGCCTCGAGTTCTTTTGCGAACTAACTCTAAGTCTACATATTTCCGTTTTGTTTTGGTTGCACTTCTGGTCCTCATCTACGACTGCAAATTGAAGCCGTAGCGGTAGTAAGTAACCGTAGACCTCTACGCACGTTTACGTAGCATTTTCACTTCGATAGATGGTTAAAATAATTTTGGTTTGCCGGTGCAAGTTCAGCTGGCATACTTTAAAACTGGTGTTATGCCTACCTCAGTGGCATTCTTGTTTCGCTGATTACATCGATTACTTTTCGCCATTTAAGCCATGGTGCCGCTTTGCAATCAGGCTTATCAAAATAAGATATTGAACGAACTCGCTTTTTGCAAGACTGATAAATGTTCGTACATAAACAGAAGAGTGATAACTGTGTTGACAACTAGGTTATTGTGTGGTGTTCGCATTAATAAAATAAAAAGAAATTATTATTATTTTTAGAAAGAAATTTAAAAAAAGAAATTATTATTTTTTACATTGTGTGATTTACATTTGTGGCAGTCCAGGGAAGGTTTAAACGATGAGAAATGATTGAGAAATTGCATTGGAAATCTAAATAGCGACAATTATATTTTCCCATAGAAACTGTTCCTACCTGTCAAACATTTTATTCGTGCGTTACGAAATTTTTTTTAAGTGTTCAAATTTACAAATTCCCTACAAATAATTTTTACGGCAAAACAACGTTTGCTGGGTCAGCTAGTTATAAATATATAATAAATTGTTTTACTTGCAACTACAAAAGTATAAATATAAAAGCATACATATGTTTGTTGTTGTTATTTTATCTTTTCAAAATAGAATTTCGGACTTTGTTTTGCACCTACGTCAAATTTTTCACTACTCCCAGGGTTGACTGGAAGAGAATGCTTATTAGCATTAAGTTTGCCTTTTGTTTGGCCTTATTTTGGGGTGTAAACAATACATTTTTAAATAAATAAATAAATCACCCACAGAAGAGAACAATCTTTTTACTCATATACATATCGATTTTGAGTTTTTACGCTCCACCTCTTAGAACTCGTATCGCTATATGATTTTGGACTACTTTTGGTCTTTTGCTTTCGTGTCATGAATTGCATGCGTCAGTCTTTTCATCTCATTATTTATGTATCTGTACCACAGACGTTTTATCAGTATCGTGATTTAATAAATTTTACTCTATGTATTAAAGCAAGATTTCCCGTAAGCTATGTAGTTTTTACAGTCAATGCCTCCAATAGATGTACTGAAAGCTAGATTTAGTTTTTTCTATGAACATTCATACACAGTATTTAGCCCATGTCCATTAGGAATAACATACATTTATAATTAAAATAATCTACAGTTGTTGTACCTTTTACATTTACAAACTCCCAAAATTAGCTCTCTATCATATTAGTACTAATATTTCCCATTTTTGGTACCAACATTCACACAAAAAATGTAAAATAAATCGTTAATTTTATTATTTCATCAATGTTTTGAGTCCGACAGTAGCTAATAGACTAATGAAATTTCCTTTCTCGGGTCTCTTTATTGCTCAAATCGTTTTCTATGTTATTGCCAATAGATGATGAACCTAATCTTTTTCTTCTTCAATCTACTCTTATCCCACTTAAGGGGGGGGGGGGGGGGGAGGTCGGCACGTCATGTCAACCCCGTTGAGCTTTTCGCTAGATGCCGGCAGTCGTAAGTACTTGTACCGTGTAGGAATCGAGTTCGATAATGATAGTGATGAATCTCATAGTAAAATTATATAAAACATGGATCGTTCTGGGTGAAATTAAAAAAATGCAATGATTAGGGAAGTGAAAGGTATGTAAAGGATGTATTTATTTCAGAAACATTTGCTATATAAGAATAAAAACGACATAGATAACATAAAATAAAGTGCACAGTGCTTGCGCTATTAAATTGTAGGCTACTAAATATAAATTTTATTGTGAAATAGCCTTTAACTGGTTCGATGCCAGATCTGATAATTTTAAATGTGTATTCTTCTCTCTAAATTATTTTCTTCAGCCAAAATACCAACCGTTACCAGATAAATGTTTTTGATTACACTTCTTCTAAAAGAGCTCTTCGCAATAGAGCTTTTTTTCCCTCAATATATCTAAAAAAATTTCTTTATTCTCAACTTCAATATGTAGTTTGTTTATGAAATATGGTAAATAAGTGCAACAATTCTTGCATCATTACCAATATATTTAATACTTTTCATTCTATGTATGGTTTCTATACAACTGTCAGTCTTCATAGGATGTATTTTGGTGCTCCTGTATGCGTTAATAATATGATTTATTACTTTTATACAGTTAGAGTTTAGTGGTGCCTCTGTAGATTATCTACTGAGTTTTTGCCAAATCATAGCAGTTTCGTAAACTTCAAATTTCTTTGTCGCCTGACTATTATCCTTTTCATATTTGCTTCGCTACAATTTGTGATATTTGTGACACTTGTTTTTATTTTATGTTCTATTTATTTTAGTTTACATATTTAAAAACTTTTTTAGGTTGCAATGTATAGTTAAGATTTTGATTTTTATGATTTTGTTGATCCATTCGTTTGAGAAAATGTTTTGAAAGCCTGTTCTGAATGTACTGTTTTCAAAATATTTAACAACTGTGTGTGTCTTTCTGATATGCAAATTGTTATTCTAAAGAACTTCTGCATGATTTTGAAAATCAAAGAGAAAGAGAATTTCTCCTGAAAACTTTTACACACTGATAGCAGCTAACCTTCAAAGTGTACATCAAAAATAGCGAAGCGCTGAACCGGCTGCCTATTCATAGACGAAACGTAGCAACAGAAGGCCTTAGCATAAATATTTTTCACACAAGATTATCACCTGTCCCGCTCGCACTCGGGCGTATCGTCATCACTGTCTCCGCCGACATGGCTGCGTTCCAAGCCGTCATGTTACGAAATATGAAATCTAATTATGAGTGGTTGTTATTAATAAAAGCCGCAACGTTACGTTTAATCATCGGTCGATTTTGCAATAATCGTGGAAATCGAGTGAATCGTCAACGTTCACCAACAATACTAATGTGTTTGAGTCAAGTTTTTGATCTACGAATGTAAATAATTATGACTCGTGTGCTCTACATCTTGCAATGTCTTGTTAATGAGTGCAGTTGGTCCGTTTGTCGTTTTACCTAGTTCGGGAACATGACTTATTATAAATGATTCAGTTTTAAACTTTGTTTCTTTTTAAATCTCTAAATGGTAAATTAATTCTGGCTCTGCATCAAAGATTTTCCCCATTTCATATTATTAGCATGATGTAGATATATTAGATTAATAATGAGGCTTGGAGCTTGACGATGCCATTCATTTAAAGTCGGTGGGAAGGTATTTCCAAAATTATTGTTATTATTAATAGTATTTTTTTATATAATTTTGTATAGGTGGATAAAAATCAGTACGTCACCATTAGTTATTGTTTGTCTTAATGACATTTCTGTGGTAAACCTAACAAGGTACGCGAATGTGACGCTTTGCTTGAAAAAATCTAGAAAGAGATATCGTTTGATATTATTCAAACGTGTTGCATGTAGTGTGGTCAAAGTGCCATCATCTGAAGTCCAGGTGTCAGCCCATTTACAACACTGGTAAAAAATATAACATTAAAATAAAAAATAAAAATAACATGACTGACGTTGTTATTTAATTTTACAGAAATTATCTGTAATAAAACCCATTAAAAAGGTTGGTACGGGATGTCCGGCTGTTTTAATTCTAAAACTAATATTTGTACTAAACTGAAAGCCATCCGAGTTTATTAAATAAAGAATTTAATTCGAAATATTAAAGAATCATTTCATCACCTACATTATATATTTATTTATTTTGTCTTACTATCCAGGCTAAAGAACAACAAACATGTTCATAAATTTTGGAAACTGAAACGTTTAAAGCGATTTAAGGCAATTCTGGAGTACACCATTCGACTCGTGTGAATGATATTTATTAGCATTTTGTCCGCTTTTTTATTTACTTTATTGATTTTATTTATATTTTTATTAATAGCATCCATGACGAATCTTTCATTGGATACGGCTTTGAAAGAAGTAAATACCATATTGACAAATTATTCACATTTCACTGTAGAAATATCCGAGAGAATTTAGTTTGCTGTTTGTTTGGTCGTACATCAATTGTAGCAACAACAGAACTCTCTGTGTGAAAAGTTCTGATGAGTCAACACACTTCATCAGAACTTACCAAGTGGCATGGCAAATATGGGGAAGTATCACGGTCTCAGCAGGCCTGCGTGAAATGGAAGTATTATATATACTTCAGCATTTCGGCAACGCATCTGCAACCTCGAAGGTGTTGTAAATTTCCATCAACAGCGGTTACAATTTACATCAGGGGAACCGCCTGCTCACTCGCCACTTTCACACACAAAAGAAGTTTTGGGTGAAAATATACGGTAAAAACGTTCTTATTTACACAATCAACTTAATGTCTATATTATTTATTGAACAAGTAGAGGTACGAGTATAGTCTGATAGATTAACTGGTGTATCTTATTTAAAGACAAAGACGTGATCAACGTTCACATATATTTTTTTAGTATTTGACGCATGTTTACGTAATTTGTTAGAGATCCAAATAAAAATAAACGCAAAGTGAAAATTAAATGTCGTCATATAGATAGACTCTTTAATCTCTTTGGTTGTCGTCTGTTTTATATGTTTTACATTTCTCTAATCTTATTGCAGCTTACGATATTTTATTGGATAATTTAATCTAATTATTATTTGAAAAATCATCAGTAAATATTATAAACATGTGTATTTTATTAGGGCATTCGATTTATATAATGTTATTCTTAGAAAAATATTGTTTTAGAAATTCTTTTTCTTCACTTGTTTGGGTAATTATGTTCAACATGAATATGATATAAAATTTTTAAGACATAGTTTCGATGCATTTTATTATATTTTACCTATTTTTGATTATGAGTTAAGTCTTAGACGATAATCCTAGTTAATATAGAAATGACCGCAAGAATAGCGTCATACTACGTGACCGGCGCCACGCACCGCTTCGGTTAGCCGCCGTTATTATTAAGAATCTTGTTGAATCATTTATTTGTATATTCCAGTGATTCTCAACCTTTTTTTGTTGCGGCACATATTAAACGATTTCACAATTTGGCGGCACACAAAGAAAAAGATAAAAATTATTTACTTACTACAACACACTGCATAGTTTATGATAAAAATTTTAAATATACGAAATAAACTAATATATATTACAATAATAACTAAACGTTTATTAAGGGATTAATTACAAGATAATAATAAAAATATTTTTAATGCGAAAAAATGAGCTTGATGTTTTTTGATAATTTCATTTATATTTGGTCGTAAAAATGACAATGCTACTCTCATATCGTCTTCTACATTTAACAATCTTGATCTTTTTTTAGTTTTAATGTTGGCTAATGCCAAAAAATAGTTTTCTTTTTAAATGATGTAATTTAATAATTTTAACATTATTATATATTTGCAAAATTTGGCGGCACACTTTTGAAATTTGGCGGCACACAAAAGTGCCGCGGCACAGTGGTTGAGAATCACTGGTATATTCATTGTTTTAAAAATAACACTCAATAGAAATATTTGTCCGGATTTTACTTGACTACAACTAAGAAAGTTATATGATAACTAAGAAAGAAACTGTGGTAGGACCACGCAGCAGCCTTGGCTGTTGCACGAATGGGCAGGCTCGTCTGGTCACGACCTCACAGAAGACCGGCGTCAAGTGGAAGTATAATACGAAAGTATTTCTTCTAGTTTCGGTTTCGGTTTCGTCTAGTGAGTGAGGTAGTCGGTGCCCAATTTTCAAAACGTTAGCAACGCAACTGCAACCTTGGGGTGCAGCAGATGTCTATGGGCGGCGGTATTCACTTAACATCAGGTGAACGGCCTGCTCGCTTGGCAACTTTTCACATAAAAAAAGAGATAATTAGTATAGCAATAATAGAATTTATTTTTATGTATACATGTTTCAATATACACAACCAATATTATATACAAGTCTAACCATCAAAACTTTTCCAACTTTTCTACGACTAATGTAGTTACAAATCATAGCCTAAGAATATTTACCGTCCTAATTCATTGCTCACCTGTAACCGTGAAACAGCAAAGTAGGGTAAGGTTGGAGTGTCATTAAAACACCGCTCTCCGCCCAATGTTGGCAGCTGAACCAGAATAAATTTAAAGAGTTGTTGAGTCGCCTCTCAATTAGTGGGAATAACGCTATTTGTTCTGCTGTTGGCAGCGTCGCTGGCTTTCTTTTAGTCCATTCGCGGAGGTCACTGTTAACGATCCGATGCGTTTTGGAACGCGACGTTGTTACGTTCGCCGAAAACAGTTGGAGTACAAAAACACATTTAAATATCACACACATTGAAATTCAGTGATGATTTCATTGTCATTACAGAGATTTTGCCTTTCAATTATTGCAATTGCAATATATAAAATGTAGGCGAAGTTCACCTGTTAAGTTCAACAGCCTAAACATGTGCTGGGCAAATGCCTTCTCTGTACAGGGAATTGTCGCATAGTCCACCACGCGACCCCTGTGGATTGGCGGACTTCACAGACATATCTTCGATATATTTTTGTTGTTATTATTTTTAAAATATGCAGGTTTCCTCATGATGTTTTCTTTTACCGCTAAGCACGTGACAAATCAGCACTTATAAGTATTAACAATTTCATTGATGCTGTCACCAGGATTTGAACTCAGGTTGCTCGAGTATAATGAATTAAAAGTGAGCGTCTAGTCTAGAGGATAGAGGAAGTGTCTACTAATGTGAACAAATTAAAGAATATATTCGCAAATGTCATTGCCGACAAACGCCAGCGCGTCTATGTGCGGCCAACGCGTTTGATACAGTAAAACTGTATCAAACGCTACAGGTGATATAGTATTGAAGTTGAAGTAATAAAAGAAATTGGCTTAAGAGAAATATAACATACGTAACAAAATTATTTCTATGCGAATATTGGTGATTTTCCAAGTAAAGAATCTTTATACATAAAAAAAGCTCCTATTGCAATAATATAGCACTTCGCCCGCGACATCATCCGCGAAAATTGTGATAGCTCGCCTACTTTATTTCACCTGCGTAGTTCTCTTCCTCGTAAGAATACGGGGTTAAAATGTCGGTTACATGTGAGTAAACATAAGTACTATTTATTACAACTTTTGATAGAACACTATTGTATATAACTATCGTTAATAGTTTTCGCCCGTACGCAAAATAATGTCTTTTATAGGCAACATTTTGATACCTTCCCAAGGTATGTACAATAGGCAACATGTTGATAATGTTGCCTATTGTTTACATACATTGTTTTATTGTGGGCAAGGTTCGATAATGTTTTGAAAATATAATTCAGTGCAGCTTATATTTGTCAGTAAAGATGTAGCTTTCTACTGGTGAAAGAGTTGTTAAAATCGGTTGTGTAGTTTTTGAGTTAAATCGTAACAAACAAAAAGACAAATGTACGGTTTAGATAGTTTGGATTTCTCCATTTTCAGTTCGTTCTATCGTTTAGCACCATCCGAAATCGTTAAATAAAACCCACAGTCCAACTGATGCTGCACTCATTAAAAAAGGCATTAGCACGCCTATCAAATAGTGTTTTATGGCATGGCCGAATCGATGCTAGTGCGTGTGCAAAAATACTGCCTAATAACTGTTCCAACGCAATTGACGAGTAACGTAACATGTAACTCGTAAATTAACATACGCGCGATTTAGAGGTAACTGCTATACTGGTATACGCTGTGAACTACATACATTTGGTTGCAATAGTTAAAGAAAAGCGATTGTACGGAAACATGAGTCAGCAGGGCTCAGTCCTTTTGTTGTTGACATTCCCCTCGT